CCCACGCGTTGGCTGGCTCCATGGGCCTTCTGTAATCCCCAGCTTATCGGGACGGCCCCTGACGGGCAGGAGACATACTGGGAACCCAGGAGAGGAGTTGCAGTGAGCCAAGCGATCGCGACCACTGTACTCTAGCCTGGCGCAACAAGGAGCTAAATTCTGGGTCTCCAAAAAAAAAAAACAAAGAGAAAAAAAAGAAATGACTTTCTCAATTTCTATCACATGAGAATTAAAGCCACGTATTTCAAAAGTTTGATGCCCAAGGAGAAATGGTGAGGCGCTCTTCAGAGGAATGGTGGGCCTCTGAGGGGGCGTCTAGGCCCTTCTCTCACTCACTCAGTAAAAAGCCTTTTCACAACACCTTTGCCATGAACATGCATATATGTACATTTATATCTGTGTGTTAGGTACTAATGTAGTGTGGGCTCTATGGGACATATGAAAAATAGAAAATCTTAACAGGTGAGAAAAAAATAAGAATAGAAATTTCAATCTTCTGCACGTGGAAGGGTTATCTGGGTACACAGGGTCCATTTTAGAAAAAATCAATTAAGGTTTGACTTAAACATTTTGGGTTCAAATATGAAGAATGTTTGTAAACAGACAGAGAGGAGCAGTTTCTTGATCTCCTACCTTCTAATTTAAGAAATGAAGGCCGGGCGCGGTGGCTCACGCCTGTAATCCCAGCACTTTGGGAGGCCGAGACGGGCGGATCACGAGGTCAGGAGATCGAGACCATCCTGGCTAACACGGTAAAACCCCGTCACTACCAAAAAATACAAAAAACTAGCCGGGCATGGTGGCAGGCGCCTGTAGGCCCAGCTACTTGGGAGGCTGAAGCAGGAGAATGGCGTAAACCCGGGAGGCGGAGCTTGCAGTGAGCTGAGATCCGGCCACTGCACTCCAGTCTGGGCGACAGAGCAAGACTCCATCTCAAAAAAAAAAAAAAGGATGAATGAAATCGCACCTATTTTGTGGCAAGCAAGTGCTCTGTGACTTCAGGTGCCCTGGTGGGTGGACAGAAGCTGACTCCTCCCCCAGCCCGTCCACCCAGCAGCACTTTGGCCAGTCCCATTCCTGTACGTCTGAGCCTGCCAGTCCCTCCTCACGTGTACACCGTGGCTTTGTGTCTGCTATTGAGTGTCCCGGAGCCCCAAACCACAGGGTCAACACCACGAGAGAAACAGGGACTCTGCTCTCATCCGCTCACCCCCACCCCGCGTAATCCCCTGGTGCTCACACAGCCCCCCCGTAAAGTTTTTCTAGCTCCCTGGCAGACTTGTGCCGCTGTTTGCCAGATCAAAGCCCAGTGACCTGAGTGGCCTGTCCCCCGCAGAGGCCACTTGTCCCTGTGGACCCATCCCGTTGGGAAAAGCATGGGTTGAACTTTAACCATTAGGCTCCGGGGTTGGGATGAGTTTCTACAAAAAGAGGTGGGTACACGCCAGTCCACAGTGGTCCTGATCAAAGTGAGGACAGCAGGGAACATCACCCTCTTCAGATTGGAGTCAGTGGGAACAGACCCAAGATGTCGGGGAGGAACGCTTGGAAGACCTCAGCTTTCTCCTTGGTGGAGCAGATGTGGGCCCCCCTCTGGAGCCGTCCAACGAGGCCAGAGCGATGGTGTTCTCAGCATTCCTGTGCACGGCAAACCAGCACTAACACTTGTAAGTAGAGCCTCAAATTTCCCAAGATGCAACTGGATCCTTGTCTTAGCTGATGGGGTCTCTCGAGACAGGAGAGGAGAGACCGTCCAAGCCAGATAGGTTCAGATTTCCACTCTGTTTCTATTTTTTTTTTCTTTTTCTTTTTTTCTTTTTTTTTTTTTTTTTTTTTTGAGACAGAGTCTTGCTCTGTGGCCCAGGCTGGAGTGTAGTGGCGCAATCTCAGCTCACTGCAACCTCCCGGCCTCCCGGCTTCAAGCAATTATCCTGCTCAGCCTCCTGAGTAGCTGGGACTACAGGCGCCCGCCACCGCCGGCTAATTTTTGTATTTTTGTGGAGATGGGGTTTCACCGTGTTAGCCAGGCTGGTCTCAAAACCCCTGACCTCGTGATTCCTCCTGTCTCGGCCTCCCAAAGTGCTGGATTACAGGCTTGAGCCACCGCCGCCGCGCCCTCTTTTTTCTTTTTTTGATGAGTTTTGCTCTTTTGCCCAGGCTGGGAGTGCAATGTCATTTGATCCGAATACTCACTGCGCAACCTCCTGCCCCCCAGATTCAAAGTGGGTTCTCCTGCCTCAGCCTCCCAAGTAACTGGGACTACAGGCACCGCCACCGCACCCGGCTAATTTTTGTATTTTGGGTAGAGACAGTGTTTCACCATGTTGGGCCAGGCTGGTCTCGAACTCCTGACTCAGGTGATCCACCCACCTCTGCCTCCCAGAAAGTGCTAGGATTGCAAGCATTGAAGCCACCATGGCCCGACCACACTCCGTTTCTTCTTGTATTTGGTGACCTTGGGTGAATCATTTAGCCTCCGTTTCAGGGGTCCTGGGGAGGGTGAGATGCTGGGAGCAGGCGGGTAGTCCATATTCCCATAGGACATACTGGCATGACTCACCATCCAGACCCGGCGGAATGGGCCGCTCTAACCAGTCACGATCACTCCTAAACTTTTCGGCAAAGAACGCTTTCAAGCAAACCTGTTACAAATAAACCACTCAGCCAGCTGTGCCAAGAAACTGCCCCGTGCCAGCCCCTCCTGGCTGCATGGTCAGTGCCTTGTGACCTCGGACGAGGCCCTTCCTCTTTCTGGGTCTCAGGTGCTTCCTCTGCAGAATGAGAGCCTGCTTCGGCAGCTGCCAAGTTCTCTTCTAACTCAGATCTTCCACACGTTCCGTGTTTGGGCCATCCAAAGAGGATGGGCTTAGGAGCCGGACCCCAGGCATGCGGTGCTACTGACGCTGGCTGAGGTGGAACCTCGGCAGGTCTTCACCCCCGAGCCTCCATGTCCTCATCTCGAGATGGGGGCGGCCAGACTTTCCAGGGCCATGGAAGGATGACATGATGCATGTAGAAAGCCTGGCCCGCTCCAGATTCTCAGTGAGCTGCACTCATTCCCTCTGTTGGGGTCCACACCTGTGGACCGGAGTGCAGTGGTGCATCTCGGCTCACTGTGGCCTCTGCCTCCTGGGTTCAAGCGATCCTCTTGACTCACCCTCCCAAGTAGCTGGGACCACAGGTGTGCACCGCCACGCCCAACTAATTTTTGTATTTTTAGTAGAGATGGGATTTCGCCAGGCTGGTCTCAAACTCCTGACCTCAAGTGATCTACCTGCCTCGGCCTCCCAAAGTGCTGGGATTACAGGCATGAGCCACCACGCCCGCCCCCGTCTTTTATTCTTAATGACCATTAAGAGTGCTAGGCTGCCTGGATTGGAATCTTGACCCCACTGCCCTACGGCTGTTGCCCCTCTGTGACTTTTCCTTTTTTTTGAGACTAATTTCAGTCTTGTTGCCTAGGCTGGAGTGCAATGGTGCGATCTCCAGCTCACCGCAACCTCCGCCTCCTGGGTTCAAGCGATTCTCCTGCCTCAGCCTCCCAAGTAGCTGGGATTACAGGCATGTGCCACCACACCCGGCTAATTTTGTATTTTTAGTAGAGACAGGGTTTCTCCATGTTGGTCAGGGTGGTCTTGAACTCCCAGCCTCAGGTCATCCGCCCACCTCGGCCTCCCAAAGTGCTGGGATTGCAGGCATGAGCCACCGTGCCTGGCTGTCCCCTCTGTGACTTTCTTAACTTCCCCCAGCCTTGGTTTTGTCGTCTGTAACAGGGGGTTGATAATGGTGCTTACTGCACAGTGTCGTTGGGAGAAGGGTCCGAGGTGGGACCTGCAAAGGCTGGGGACAGCACATGGCTCCAGGAAGCCCTCGCTAGATGCCAGCTGCTGCTGTTGCTAACAAAGGCAGAGGTGGGTGCCCTGTGTCTATTTAAGCATTGCCCTGTCAGTGGGCAGCAGGTAGCATCCCATTTCTTACTGTGGCAACATGTCCTCTTACATCTTGTGCTAGAGAGAGTCATATTCTGTATTAGCACCTAAATCCATTTACCCCGTGGTCCTCAATCTGTTCCCAGCGAGCAGAGGGCTCTGCCAAATCATTTCAGAGTTCCACAAAGAGCAGAATATTCTGCCAAGCGGGGAAGATTGGAACATCATAAGGAATTCATCCTTCTATGTTTGTATTTTATTTATGGGCATTCTGAAGGTTATTTCATTTGGGAAAAGAATATCGTTACTAAAAATGATTGAAAAATCACTGGTGGTTTGGCCTTGAGAGAAAAGTCAAAGAGTTACAAAACGTTCAGTGATAATTTTAGAACCAGGCATGGGGGCTCACACCTGTAATCCCAGCACTACTTTGGGAGGCTGATGTGGGAGGATGGCTCAAGGCCAGGAGTTCAAGATCAGCCTAGGCAAAACAGCAAGAACCCATCTCTTTAAAAAAAAAAAAAATGAAAAAATTAACTGGACATGGTGGTGCTCACCTGTCATCCCAGCTACTCGGGAGGCTGAGGTAGGAGGATCACTGATCCTAGGAATTGGAGGCTGCAGTGAGCCCTGATCAGGCCACTGCACTCCAGCCTGGGTTACACACCAAGACCCTAAGAAAAAATAATAATAATAATTTTAGGGATCATTTAATCATGTTTTCCAGTCACATTTCAGGGTGTGCACTGGCAGTGCCCATCTATTCCTAAGTGTGATCAGCAACATTACACTGGTAACTTAAAATTGGCCATGGTGAAAGTATTTACACCACAGTAATTGGCAAACACTGGAAATCAAAGATTCTAATTTCCTGGGAGAACGGCTTATTAAACACCAACCAGCACACCGCTGCACATTCTTGGACATTTTACCGGGTATTTCCTGCTCAGTTGTGCATAAGTCTTCTTGGGTTTGGCTGCCCCCGGCTGAGTGTGGCTGGGCTGGGCGCCCCACTCTGGGTTCAGGCCTGCTCACTGCATCTCTCATCCTCCCTCCGCAGCCACCTGAGGCCTGTTCTTCTCACAGCGGAGGGCGGGCACTCATAGGGCGAGGCCAGTGGTGCCCGTGTATTCCAAGCTACTGCTCACGTCACGTCTGCTCATGTCCTGGTGGTCAAAGCAGGTCACCAGGTGGCCAAGTCTAGTGACAACAGGGGAGGGGATGGCTCCTCCCATGGAGGTTAAGGGGGAAGGAATTGGAGATTTGCTGAACCATTGTCAAACCTGGAGACTGAGAATGCATCGGGGAGAGAGGGTCTCCTTCCAGGCTGCCCCCATGTGAATTAGGAGCAAACACTGGTCCCCTGGGTCTTTGATTCCATGTTCCCAGCACCTGGGCCAGGGCTTGACCCATAGGAGCACCTCTGTAAATATTTGTTGACTGATTGAAAAAGAGGATAACATTTGTATTACCTCCCAACGGAGCCCTAGTTGAGTTAGCATAGAACCCAGGTTGCTGTGCACCGGGATCGGCTGTGTGGAGATTGGAAGCCGATTCAGCATTCAGGCGGCGTCGCCTCCATGCAGGTGGCAATGACCACCATCCGTTTGTTGGGTGACACACACAGAGTTCAACGCGGGTGTTTCATTGTTGGTGGGCCGGTTGGTGCAGTTCAGCAAGCGGAACCTAAAAATACCCGCTCTTCCCGCGTCCTGCGTCTCTGTGAGCCAGGGAAGCCTGCGCCTCCTGCCTAGATGAGCGCCTCCCCCGTGGCATCCGTGGCTTTTGGGTTCTGTCTACATTCAGGTCTGTGCCGCTGTGTTAAACGCCCCTTGCCCAGCAGGGAGGAAGGGAGGCAGCGGCCGTGGGACCGCGGAGAGCGCGCTGAATCCTGCTTCCCGTTGGATGCAAAGGAGATTTGTGAGGCCTCAAAGGGGCTTTTTTTTTTTTAGATGGAGTCTCCCTCTTGTTGCTCAGGCTGGGGTGCAATAGCGCAGTCTCGGCTCACTGCAACCTCCACCTCCTGGGTTCAAGGGATTCTCCTGCCTCAGCCTCCCAAGTAACTGAGTAGCTGGGATTACAGGCGTGCACCACCACACCCGGCCTCTCCAAAGAGGGGCTCTTTGGAGAGAGCCCGCCAGCTCCCGTGTCTGTAGTCGTCCATCACGTGAGAGAGAACAGAATGCATCTGCAGGACGCTGCAGGGTCCACCGTCTCCCAGCGCCGGCTTAGTCCTGGCTTTGGAGCACTTAGCGAGTTACGTGTGTGATCGCAGCATTGTGGCTGGGATGTAAAGCAGGGGCAGGAAAACGCATCTTCCCTGTCTATAACACGTGGGAAGGCATTCCAGGCCTTCCCCGGTGCCAGCGAGCTTATCTTCTCAGCAAAGCTGCTGTGATTCTACTCCCTTATTCTCCTTTCTGCAGATGAAGAAACTGAGACTGGGGGAAGGTGGTAAATAACATGCCAGGTAACTCGGAGAGTGAGTGGGGAGAGCCGGGGTTTTGGCCCACAGATGTGTCTTCCCCACTGCACAACGAGTAAAACTTTAAAAATTACTTGGCAAGGCCAGGCGCAGTGGCTTATGCCTGTAATCCCAGCACTTTGGGAGGGAGGCTGAGGCAGGTGGAT